ATAGAAAGCAAATTAGATGGTGTAGTTTTGTTGTAATCTCTCCCTCTCTCTCTCTCTCTCTCTCTCTCTCTCTCTCTCTCTCTCTCTCTCGCTGAAGAGGCCGAATTAAAAATGAAGAAGTCTGGCAAAGCCTGATGAAGGTAATTTGCCTTAAACCCTTTCATTTACTTTTGATTTATAATGGTATAAAACCTAACCAATTCCTTATATTGTGTAGATCCACTGTTGGGCACAATCATTTAGGACACAAGTTTATCGTCATTGGGATGAGTTAGAATACATTTTCGAAGGAACACAGGCAACTGTGGACATGGGATACTCTCTTGAAATGGGTCTTGATGATCATGTCCCAATTTCAGATAGCCCACTACCAGTTGTCATGTTAGGTGATCAAGGGACACCAGCAACTGGGGAATCTCTTGCTAGTCCATACACTATTGTCCCCACCGATGATGTATTAGAGATGCCAGACTGTAAGAGGAGAGTCGGCAACTCACCCACTAGCATGAAGAAAGGGAAGAATTAGTGTCTTCCACCTAGACTTGATTTAATGATTAATTCATGGATAGAGTCCAACAAGAACAAACTTGAACTAATAGAAAGGGAAAGCTCACATGAAATCAAAAAGCAGCAGGAAATGGAAATGGAGAAGGAGATTGTAGTACAGAGGGAAAGATTGATAGAATTAGAGAGGTAAAAGATTCGAGAAATGGAGAATGAAAGAAATCTAGGAGGAAATAGAGGAATGCATTGAAATCCTTAATTCCATATTTCATGTTGAAAAATTATCTCCAACATGGTATTTCAGGACAACTAAGTTGTTTATGGAAAAGAAATGGAAGAACACTTTCCTTGCTAATGCCTACAAATGTTAGGAGTTTTTAGCTCTATGGATTGAACAATGAGCCATCAAATCCATGATTTCCAAAAGACTTTTTATTTCTTGATGTGCTTGGTTGAATCTGAATACTTTTTGGAATGATGGGTTTTTTTTTTGGTAATGGGTGATGACCTCTAATGCTTATATGGACTCCCATTTGGACTGATGGAACTTTTTGTTATATGCTAGTATTTACATGATTATATGCTAGTTATAACCATGGTGTCTAATGTTTATTTTGATTTTATTATAATGTTGTAGTTTGTCATATAACAATATTCTATAGATCCTTATTAGTATCAATGAAAAAGATGATCCATTGATTCAGATGATGAAGAGGAAATGATAAACTTCATTATGACTTCCTGCATACTATACTTGTATTGTCCACAAACTAGAAGGCAGTGTTGCATGATTTCTTCTTTGACTAAACATACTTATGTGTGGACAAAAGTCCTCAATGACTTAAAACATGCAGATAGATGCTACAATTCATTTAGGATGGAACAACATGCCTTCAAAAACCTAGCCTCTCTATTTACGGTGAGAGGAGTTTTGAAGAACACTAGGAATATCACTGTCAAGGAGTCACTTGCTTTCTTCCTCCTCACAATTGGTCATAATGAGAGGAACCGCCTGATGGGTGAGCAATTCTAGCATTCTTCATGGACCATCATACACATATATGGAAAGTTGTGTATGTAGTTGAAAAATAGAGAAGGAGTTCATAAGGCCACCTGCATTCACTGAAGTGTAACCATTTATTAAGAAATTTAAGAGATATTACCCATGTATGGAAAGTTGTGCCACCATCACACACATCCGTTGGATATGATGCCATCATTCATGCTGACGTTATTGATCTATTCCAACAACATTTTCAACCGTTGGATTTAAAATTTTAGGCCAGATATTATAAAACAATCATCCAATTAATATGTACCATTTAATAAGCATCACTATATAATTTGGTATGATATTAGCATGCATCATCTTATGGGGTAATGTGTGCACATACATTAAAAACAATGATGAAAATCACCTTACCAAATAGCATAGTGTTGCTTACTGCCTATGTGGTAGAAACACTCCCAAACAAAATCAATGCGTTTTTTTGTTAAAAACGGGTCTAACAAGCATGGGCAATTTTTTTTTGAAAATTGGTCCCAAAAAAAGCTCACGCTTCCAAACACCACCAAAGCAATTGGGGCTAATGCAGAATCATCAAATCAAGCATGGTAGTGGTTGATAACAAACACAAGAATTGGCTTAGCTTTTCGACCAGCAAGAATGGAAAGCCAGTAAGTCTACCTTCCCAAACGCTTTTAAGCCCCAAAGCACAAAGCAATTGGGACTAATGCAGAATCGTCAAATCAAGAATCGTAGTGACTAATTATGAAAGACAAACATAGGAATTGGCAAAGCTTTTCAACCAGCAAGAACAGCAAGTGAGCAAGTCTACCTTCCCAACCACATAAAGCAATTGGGATTTTGTGCATTAGAATGAAGTTGTGAGCTTTTCTCATTGACCGTTGAGACAACAAAAAAGGGAAAAATTCCTGATTAGTACCATGTATTTTGTGCCTAGAGCCACTTTGGTCCTCAAATTTTAAAATGCGACAATTCAATATCCGAACTTTCAAAACGTGACAATCCAGTACCTTCCATTAATCAATAGTTAACCTACTATTAAGTGACATTTGAAAAGAACACAAATTCCCTTCAAATGTCATTTAATTTTCTTTATCAACCATCTAAATGTTGATACAAAATTAACGGTCTCAAATCCTTGCTTCTTCCATTCAAGAAAGTTGGGGTTACATTTGAATGGGCATTCTGGTGATCCCAATTTTTCTTGAATAGAAGAGGCAAGGATTTGGAACTATTAATTATTTTTTTTTGTCAATGTTTGGAAAGTTGATAAAGAAAATTAGATGACACTCGAAAGGTATTTGTGTCTTTTTTAAATGTCCCTTAACGGCTGATTAACAACTAGTTAACTGCAGGTACTGGATTGTCACGTTTTGAAAGTTTGGGTACTGAATTATCGTTTAAAGTTTGGGAACCAAAGTGACATTAGACCCAAAGTACCGAATACTAATCGAGAATTTTCCCAAAAAGAAAAAAATAAACTTTCGAACTCTTGTCTGACTTTGATCTCAGGTGCAATTTTCATGAAGTCCAATATTTGATAAAAAAGAACCATTGACTTAGTCAAATCCCATTTGACAGGCAGTTGAATCATTGACTTGTTCAACTGTATGTATATGCAAACTTTTGCAATCACCAACTTTGCACTGAAGTGATCTTTATGTTGATTTGGGTAGCTTTTCAAGATCTCTATTACAAGAGGCAAAAGTTGCCTTGCCCCACTTTTTTTCTTTTTTGTGTAAAAAATTACCCTTTATGCATCAAATTCTAATTCTTGAATTTTTTATAAATAAAATTAAAAACTGAAATAAAAAACTGCTGAACTGAGCTGCTTGCTGTTTTGTTTTTAAAATACTTAAAATATTCAAGGGCGTACGTAATTATCTATTATACTTAGGTATCAAAAAATCAATTATCTACTATACTTAAGCTTCAGCCATTAAGGAGCCCACAAACCTCCTTGAAAACTTGTTCACTAAATGACAAAACAATAAGCTTTTCAATTAATCCGCTTTATGCCTCCTTAGACCACTCGGTCCAGAAATGAGTTGACACTAGGTTTGGAATCTAGGTGGATAAAGAAACTATTGATATTATCGGAAGAGAATTCTATGGGTTGGGACTCCAGGACTGAGGAGTAATCTCATGTATAGAGGATTCTCTTGAAGAAAATGCAAAATGAAGACTAAAACAAGAAAATCGTTATGCCATTTACTCATCATGAATGGTTTATTAATTAGTATCTTGTCCATGGGACTAACAATGAAGAATATTGGGTTAGGTTCCGATAACTCCATCTACTAGGAGGGCTTGAGTTATTATTAACTTATGACCATTTGGAATGACCCAAGTACATCCATAACCTTGAAGGAGGAGGATTTTTACGATGCTGGTATCCATTCACTAGGTTTCATTTATAATATTATCCAAGTGGTGTAGGTACAGACATGCCCTTAGAGAGGGCTGACCTTGTATTATAAATGAAAGAAGGTTTCATGGATGGAAACGATGGAGGTTTACTTTACTGATCTTTGTGTCCTGATCAAAGGTATAAGCAATCTCAATCAGCTTCAGCTTAGAACCCTTCAATCCCGCAAAGCAGAGGCCAAATGGCACACCTGTATGTCCATATCCTGCAGGAAAACTGATTGCTGGGTAGTCTCCATAATTTCAATCACAGGAAGAAAATCTGCACCAGGAGTCACCAGAGCATCAAATTTGTTATCAACTATCAACTTGTCAAATCCATCACTTGGTAGCTTTTGCAGATTCAATAATGCTGCCTCTTCTACATGACCTATACCCTTTGATCTCTCAATTACCAAGTAAATGCCTTGACCATATTTTTCAGTTCTTTCTGTGAACAGATCCAAGTGACTTGCTCATCTAGCAATTAGTAATTTCATCACTTAATGCGAGGAATAGAAGGCCGCAAATAATACTTACTAAGTCACAAAATTTTTTGCTTCTTCTAACACTAAACATTTCTGCAAGAAATCATTTTCTATCAAACATCTCTTCATGACTCCACAGTTTCATTCTAATTACATTTTTACACAGTTTTGAAATCCATAATTTAATTAAAAAATGCACGCTATCTAATCTTTTAATATTTCCCTCTTCTATTTTTCCCAATATTTTCCAAATAACACAAGAAAGAAAACAATTAGAGTCCTTGTAGTTATTTTGACCTTTGCTCTTTCCTTGGAATGGTAGATCTTCTTGGATACATTTCTTCTGCCAATAACTTTCTTGATAATTGATTAACCAAAGGATAAGATCACCAAAACCTCCCATGAATTTAGTAAAAAACATATCCTCAACAATGAGAGATGTAAATTCAGCAAGAGAGAGATCAGAGAGAGAGATATGACTTGACGCTTCCAAAAAAATAATTTGCCATAAAAATCAATATAGAAAAGGAACAGTTGTGAGAAAAGAGAAAAAAAAAAAAGGAAAACAAGAAGGTAAAGTGTAAACCATAATATACCTAGAAAAATTTCCTCTCTTCAAGCCACTGCTTTACAGGCATAACTTTGTAATTGGCATCTTTCCATTCGTTTGCAACTACAATTGCAACTCAATTTGCATAGCCTTCCCACAAGCTAGTTTCCGATCATGAGTTTCCCTCTCTGCCTCATCAAGAATTTTTTAGTTATGTTACTCACATTTAGGATAGATATATATTGTTTGAAAGAAATGTGCATTTAAGAGAAAGAAATCTCACATTTGATCTCCTGCACTTGTTGTTCGTAGTGTCACAGCATTTGCAGCAGCCTCCTCCAGCTCACAGACGGTTTGCCTTAGCTTTAACCTCTGTAACCTTTTTCTTTGCATATTGTTCAAATTCTTATTCTCCTCCTGATAGACAAAACCATAAATATTACAACCAATCATACATGCAACTAGAAGATGGTCACTGACATACCAATAGAACCATACAATTGGCCATCATATACCAAAATAATTTGTTAAATATCAAACAGGAAAATAAATAAATAAATAAAAACCTAGCAATTTTCAATCTGCTTCCTGAACTCCTGGTTCTTGTTTTGAAGATCTTCAACCAACGATGCTTTTGCCAAGGAATTCTGTACAGTTCTCTCAGCATCAAGTAGAGCAGCTACCTTTGATTTAGTAATCTAATTTATTGCTTTATTATCATCCTGTAGCTTTGCAACCTGACAAATTAAAACAGAATAATACAAAGAGAAAATACAGTACCCAAATGGGCAAATTTTTTATGCCCATGTTAATAATTTGAGTCCATTCACCAGCACAACTAAGAACCAAATGCATGTGTACCATGAGTATTATTAATATGCATGTTACAATAAACTATGTTAGTGGTCATTTCCAACAGTATAACATTAATTAAAACTTAAACATACCTCAAGCTTAGCAAGTTTTAACTCTGCCTCAAGTGGATGATGATGGCCTCAATAGGAGGCAGTCATCATCCTCTTGAGCAGCATGGACTCTCCAAAGTGTGGCTTCTGATGCAAATTGTGTAGTAAGAGCTGATCTTTTCTCATCATTTATCTTCTTGATCTCAAGGTTCTATAGAAAAAGACAGACAGGCTATTTCAGAATCTACTTGTTTAAAGGGGAAACTAATTTTCTCAAAATAAAAAGAGATAAATTTCACCATACTCCCAAGTCTGCTGACGTTATTTAACTCACCGCCCAGGCTGCAATATGAACATCTCCCATTCTGTTGTGGTCTTCTTCTTTGTTGAAAGAACACCACCAACTGTCACAATTGCATGTTGTAGTCCTTCATATTTTCTCACATTGCTTCGAGAAAACTCCAAATCTGGAGGACAACTATGGTCAGGGAAGGACCAAAATGTCTTCTTGCAAAACAGAGTCCAGAACTCTTCTTGGGACAATGGCTGAAATTTATAGACTTCAATATAATAATTTATGCATGATGAGGCTACATCATCAGAACATGTTGTGACAATTATTCTACTTACAGAATTGATATTGGGAAAGGAATACTGAACTAATTGCCATGCTTTTATGCTCCATATGTCATCAACTAATTCAGCTTGGCCTCTTTCATTTCTTGAACTCCTTGAGGAGTTGATTTCTTATGCTCCTCAGATATCTGCTTTATCATGTCTATAAGTAACTCCCCAATCCTAAAAGGCTCGGAAAAAGCAACCCAGGCATGGAATTGGTAGTGTGTCTCTTCACCATTTGATTGCCATACACTCTCTTAACCAGAGTTGTCTTGCCTAAGCCACCTATTCCGACCACCAAAGTTACACAAAGGCTTAAATGACCCTCCACAAGCCACCCAATGATATACTCATTGGGCTCTCAGCTTCCTCCAATAAAAGTGTGTCTGCATGGATATCATTCCACTCAGCACCTGAAGAGTTTGAACTTGAAGCTAGTTCTAGGCTTCTGAATTCATATCAATTTCTTCTACTTATTATGTCATATACAGCAAAAATTAAATCAAACCCAAAATACTTTGTAAGTAGACAGACCATTACCAGGATCACATTGCCACTGGTGCCAGATGCCAGTAGTACACTATAAATATGATTAAACCCCAGATCACAGTATATGGTGACAATTTTCTATGTAAAATAAAATTGTTCTAAAACATCTTCACTCCCATAATAAATATAAATATAGATGAACAAACAAAGGTTAAATAAGATCTTCCTTGAAACATGTGTTCTTGCATTCCTTATGTAGATTTATTTGCAGAGAGCTTCCCATATGCCTCCCAAGTATCAAGCATCATAAAAAGAAAAAATATGCAAGTAGATGGATTAAATTCAACCTATATCAAGATTTCCTGGAGTCTATAACAAATTCATTATGAAAGTGGCAATGGATTGGAACATGCTAAATTGTATCTTGGATGGAGTATTTTTGACCCATTCTCATCTAGATTTCAAGCAACAAAGGACTGACCAATCAAGCCTATTAGAGGGGCATGTTTTGGTTTCTTGGATATTTTCCACAATATGCACTGCCATTATCATTCATTACTGCCCAGCCATCTGGGTCCTTGGGAAGAGTGAAATGGATATCACCATGAACATATAAACCTTGTTCCAACCATATGGGATCAGCTACATGAATCCTATATTCAGCGACATATCCATTGTCAAATTATGTCTGCTTAAATCGTTAGTTGATCCCATATGGACCTTAATCTTTGAAATTTCTTTCTTTGCACAAAATGACTGCTCTCCAGATAGAACTTGTGTTCTCACGCTTGTCAGAATTTGCCTGCAATGGGATACTAAAATAGAGACCAAAGGAACAGATAATACCTGATCATGGATACATCACCACCCTTTGGCTGGATGCTACAAAATATTAAATTCTTCTAATTTAACTTTATGCTATATGTGGTTTAATGGAAAATAAGAAAGAAACGGAAAGTTGAGTGAGTGAAATTCCTTTAAGAATTTTCCCCCAAATTCCTATTTCTCTCTTATTTCCCATCAAACCAAACACAGAGTCAGACTTAAGTATTGTATTTTCCAAACTATTTGATATAGAAAGGATAAGATGTAATAAACATATCCATTTCCATCTATTTATCCAACAAACTCAAAAAAAAAGTTACATTATTATTCTTTTATCCTCTGTTCATATAAACCCTTCTCCATTTTCTATTCCTCCATCATCAATCCCTATCTGTTGCTTGAAATATGGTGCGTGATGGCACTGTTTATTCCAAAAACCATCCCATAATCTTTTTAGAAGGTATTTTGTAAATAATGTGCCTAACCATTTGTTGTATCCTCAAAGAAAATATTTACCATTGCAGATTGCCTTACAAAAGAGAAATATTTTAGTAGCAGCAGAAGAAACTGAACTGAATGGCTAATTATTTGTCTTCTAGTCAATAAGCTGTAACAAAGTTGATTACTATAAACTCAACTTAATTGTGTTACCCACTAAAACGAGATCTCTGGATGGTTCTAGCAGAGACTTGGGATTGAATCCTTCCTTCACCAGGGTTGGGGGGTCATAGGTTTGGGGGATGGGCTAGACCTTGTTATGTAACACCATGGAACAAAAAGTCATTCAGTTCAGTCACTTCAGCTGTTATTATAAGGATTACCATAATTTGCAGCATCATGGATGCCTTTTAAGTTAACTTTCCCTGATACTTTAATATATTTTTCTTGGAAAGAAGTCTGAACCTTGCATTGTTGCTACTGCTACAAGGAGAATGAAAAAGAAATAATGGAAAGCACTTACCAAATTAGCTTGATCAGGAAAACCTTGCAGGACCATTTAAATCATAAATCGCCCATTTTCCTTCTATCCAATGCCAAAAACGAACCAATGCAACATGTGCAACTTTCCAATGATCTTCGCCTTGAGACTGTATCTTCCTCTCAAATTTATCAGGCATATTCATAAATGAAAGGTGTTTAAGCTTGGTGAGGCTTTCAATGCCTGATGGCACCTTCTCTAGAAATCTACAATTTTCAATCTCTAGTTTTTCAAGATGAGGCAGTGCTCCCACCACACTAACCATTCTCAATCCTTCTAAACTGTTAAGGCATAGAAACTTAAGCTTGTGAAACCCACCTGACTGAAAACATAATTGTTCTCCTTGGTAAGCATCAACAAGAGCAAGCACCACTAAGTTAGGAAAATCTTTCAGGGCTTCAAGTGGATCATCCTTCAATTTAGTCCACCTTAAATCTATAGTGCACAAATTTTGCAACAAGGGAATCCAGTGTGGTAATTTCTCCAACCGCCCTGTCAACAATAAATGTCTAAGAAAAGGAGGCGGTGAAGATAATGATTCAAGGTCAAGAATCTCCCCCTCTTCTATTGCAGCTAGAGTTAGAAATTGAAGGCGGATCATTTTCTCAATGGAGGAACATAGATGTGTTCCATCTTCTCTTTTTAACTTCCTAATCCCCAATCGTTTCAATTGGACTAATCTCCCGAGCCCTCTGATCAGGTCAATGTCATTGTTTGCTTCTATGCAGCTAAGCTTTTGTAGGGATGCCAAATCTCCAATTCCACTTGGTGCCTTGAACCCTGACTGATGAAATGTAAAATAAGAATGTCCATATTTGTAGCAGTAAACAAGAAGATGTCGTAGCTTATGGAGGTTGAGGATCCCAACGGGCAACTCAGACACATAGGTATGTTTAAGATCCAAGGTCTCAAGGTAGTGGAGCTTCTTGATAGAATCTGGAATCTCTTTGACTTTGGTGTTTCTCAAGTTTAAATACCTTAAATGGAAGAAATTGGTGAGTTCCTCTGGAAACTCCTCCAATGGGAGACTTCTCAAATCCAACACCTTGAGCAGCTTAAGCCTAGAAAAGAATTCACCACCACTAAATCTGTTGGAAAATGTACCCACCTAAACATGAATAAAGAACGAAGGTGAGTGAAGCACTTCTCTTGTGCTACTTTTTCACAACCATCATGAATTGATAGATGCCTGATTTTTTCATTATCAACCATTACATCCTGCTTTTCAGCATTAATTATGGCTCCAAAATTCTACTCATTTTATTTCGAAAGAATGATCTCATGAATGAGGTCATGGACTCAACATGTTTGGACTCGTCCATCATCAATTGCTGTTTTTACTATTTGGAGGAGGCTCCTATTAACCAGTTCATAGAAATAACTCTCTCCAACCTCTTCTAAGGTCTTTCCTTCTTTTCTTTGGATAAATCCTTCAGCCATCCATATCCAAATTAGTTTCATTCTGTCAATCAATTCATCCTCAGGAAACATACTCAAACACAAGATACAATATTTTAGATGGTATGGCAAATCATTGTAACTTAAAGATAGTATTTTCATCATAATCCTAAGTCTGTTGTCGCTTTGCAACTCACCACCCAGGCTGCGATTGAACATCTCCCATTCTATTGTAGTCTTCTGCTTTGATAGAACACCACCTACTGTCACAACTGCAAGCGGTAGTCCTCCACATTTTCTTACAATGCTTCGAGCGAGATCCTCCAATTCTGGAGGACAACCATGCTCAGGGGAGGAGCAAAAAGCTTTCTTACAAAACAAAGTCCAGGACTCTTGTTGAGACAATGGCTGAAGGTTATAGACTTGAAAATGAGATTTTTATGCATGATGAAGCTATATCATTAGAACGAGTTGTAATCATTATTCTACTTCCACATTTGTTACTGGGGAAAACATTTTTAACAGATTCCCATGCTTGTATGCTTCATATGTCATCAAGAACAATCACATTCCTATTTTGCTTAAGAAATTCTTGGAGTAGCTGCTTCAGTCTGGCCTCTTTCATTTCCCCAACTCCTTGAGGAATTGGTTGCTTTTGCTCATACAACTGCTTTATCATATCTATTAACAACTCATGAATCCTAGGTGATTCTGAAAAAGTAATCCATGCATGAGATTGGTAGTGTCTCTTCACCCTTTGATCCTCGTACACTTTCTTCACCAGAGTTGTCTTGCCTAAGCCACCCATACCAACCACTGAAATTACTCCAACGCTTGATTGACCCTCCACAAGCCATCCAATGACTTCTTGCTTGGGTTTGTCAATCCCCACTAGCTCAGCTTCCTCCAGGAGAAGGGCGTCTGTTCGAATATCATGCCAGTCCGCACCGAAGAATCTGAACTTGAGGCTTGTTCTTGGTTTCTGAATCCATATCGATCTCTTCTATTTGATACTTCATATACTCTCGATTTAATCTGCTGTATCTGAGTGGCTAGAGAATGACGAGATTTCAAGTTATGGAGGGAGTGCATGATTTTGTGAAGACAGCCAATGAATCTGTTCGACTGATGTCGTCTTCGTTGTGCAAACTGAAGCATGAAATCATCAAGAACATCTTCCATGTCATAAGCCACATCCCTCACTTGGTTCACCCATGCTTTTACACTTGCATCGGCTTCGACCCTTGCATCGGCATCTCTCAGAAGGGCTCTCATGCTTTCTAATTCATCTCTGATGTCTTCGACTTCTTTATGCACTTTCTTCAATAACTGCACTTCTTCCTCTATCTAGGGCGTAAGCTTGTTTAGTAGAAAGCTTACAGCACTCTGCCATTTATCTTCTTTCTCTTACCGGAAAATTGCTCTGGGTACCGTTATATTCGAACTCTGTAACACTCTACAAGTGATCAATTGATGACGCTTCTCTAGTCTCCCTCTCAAGTCAAGACCTCCAGTGGTTTTGGCTAGAAGTACCGAAAAAAACAAGACCCACTTTTTTATTTGTTAAAATTTGCACCTTCAAGTTCGTTTGTAGCAACAGATCTGTATGATCACGAATGCCCACTTCTTTCTCTGAAAAAAAAATAAAAATAAAAAAGAAAATTTGAAGCATCCGATCACCCCATTCACACCTAGTCAGGTTGAACGTTAGGTTGATGTGTCCATCAGTGAGCTTAGAAACAAAATTGAGAAATTTAGAGCACCTCAGTAACTTTTATTAGTTTTTCAATTTTATTTACATTATGGTGGTACGTGTACGTCTACGTTCAAGGGGTGGAAATGAACTCTGTTTTCTCTAGAGATGCAAAAAAACAAGATTATTGAAGTACAAATTGCAAAGGTTAATTGGTTTTATATTGAACGTCAATTGTCACATCTTCTCTTCATTCTTCCTCGTCATTTCAACTTGGATATAAAAATCTACAGGGGAGGTTGTTAATAAAAAGTTGCATACGTTTTCTGCTACATTGGAGAGGATGGGTTAATATGATGTTTAGAAAACAGTTCTGGAGGCTGAACCGTTTTTCCCTCAGGGTTATGAATCATTGATTAAATCATCTGTGTGGGTAAAGTTTTAAAAGGTTATTCAAAAAAAAATATCCCAATGGATGTAATGTTATAGCCTTTTAAAAGTTGAAAGAAAAGAAAAAGATAAATTATATAAAAACCAAACGATTTAATGAAACCAAGACCAAGACCAGTTCAGTTCCCCAGTTGAAACGGCGGATTGATCAGTTTTTACCGATTTTGTTACCACCGATTTTAGAGCTTAACCATACCAGTCAGACCAGCTGGTCTGGTCCGGTTCTGTAAATATTGGTTTAATACTAGACTTGGAGTTTAGGTGGACGAAGAACAAAACAAGCCATAACTCGATAACGGAATTCTATACAGAATTAAACAATTTCATATCATATGGATGCTCTTGCGATTTTTTATAAAAATGCGAGTCGGTATCTGTACCATTCATAAAAATGAGGATGGTGACAACATTTTGTCAAAAAACTTCATTTTTACTTTGCATTTTTACCTTTTATTGTGTGTTTAATTTTAAAGTCTGATTTTCACTTTCCATATTTACCTTTTATTCTGTTTTTTATTTTTCTAATTTTATTTAATTAACGATAACACTTGTAATTGGATTGGATAAATCAAATAAAATAATAATAAAACTGCTGTTGAACTTACTTCTTTCTCCCCTTAGGCCTTACCTGATCTTCTCCCGAAGCATCTATTTGATGACATCTTCACTGATTAGATTCAACACGTGTCAAGTATTGAATGGTTTGCCCAAACCATGAATTAGAATTGAAGGGAGGAATGAATTTTTTTTACCTCTCTATTTTCATCATGGAACAATCAATTAGATGATTAAATGAAGATTTTATTTTTTGTTTTCTCCCTATTTTTTAGGTATTTTTCTCATTTTCCCTCTATTTTGATTGTATTTGTTAACATAATAAGTTGTATTTGATCAGGACATGCCTTCAAATTCATTATATTGATTTGTTTTAGGGTGTTTTTTCTCGACGATCATCAGGCCAGTTCGGTAATTTGACACCCTTCCAACTAGGGGTTTGGTACTTGGTAAGGCTATAGGGATTTGGAATGTATTTTGTTGGCAGGAGATCCAATCTCTTTTATATAAATAAGACGGATGTTTAATTCAAATCCGAATATAAAACGAATCAGGATCAACCTATATCTAGACGCTAGCCATTAGATATGCAGATAATAGTCCTATCATTGACGAGCAGAATGACAAGAGACAAAAGGCCAAATGTCATCGTTCACACATGAAGTGAAGACAAATTCTAAAACCCCAATTCTCTCCTTTAAACCACTCTCTGTGTAGTGTATATTTTATCCATTCCCCCCTACTTCGCAATAGGAATGAGGAAGCAGAAATGGCATCTCTCTTACATACATACCATACTAAAAAAAATGAAGAAAAAAACAATATAAATTACAAAAAAGACAAAATTACAAAAAATATAGAAAATCATAAAAAATTCTATACCATACTAAAAAAAGTGAGAATGTTGCAATTGGTTTGGTCAAAACATCCTAATTTTACTTTTCAACTTTACCCTCAACTTTCTATTTTTTTCCCATTATATATATTGCCATTGCAAAATAATTATGAAAAACATAAAATGAAAAAAATATATATAAATTACAAAAAAATAAAGAAATACATAGAAAATTTACAAAAAATATAGCAAATCATATAAATTTCTATACCATACTAAAAAAATGAGAATGTTGCAATTGGTTTGGTGAAAACACCCTGATTTTACTTTCCAACTTTACCCTTAACTTTCTATTTTTCCCATTGTATATATGACATTGCAAAATAATTATGAAAAAAACATATAAAATGAAGAAAATAATATAAATTAAAAAAAGAAACATAGAGAAAATTTACAAAAAATATAAAAAATCATAAAAATTGAAGAAAGAAACATAAATTACAAAAAGCAAAGAAAAACCATAAATGAAAAAAATGAAAAAAGTTTTAGAATAAAATAAAATTTTATATCTACTACCATATATAAACAATGAGAATGATTCAATTAGTGTGGTTGAAAGACCCTGATTTTTCATACTAATTCTACCTCTTAGTTTTTTTTGTTATTTCGACATATCCCAATTCTATGAGAGGGTGCATGATAGTTGTTGGCAAAAAAAAACATTGTCTTTTATAAAAAGCCATTGGGTGGGTTAGATACTTAGGTTTGGGTTGAGCTTCAACCCAATCCACCTGACCCATTAACCCATTAATGACTCATTCTGGATTCAACCCAAACCCACCATAACCCAATCAAATCTGCACAACCCATTAATTTTTCACATAATACATAAATTCTAGAAAAATTATATCTATAAAAAATACACAATATATAAATAAAGATAGAAAATGTAGAAAATAACATAAATTAAAGAAAAAATACAAATTACAAAATAATTATAAAAAAACACAGAAAATTATGAAAACAGTATAAATAACAAAATAATTCTATCTAATTGGGTCATTGATAGGTTGGCAGGTTAGATGGATTGGGTTGAAACTCAACCCAAACCAAACCCAACCCAACCCATCCAACTGCCACCTCTAGGCACAAGTAGTAGGGGAAAATATATAGAACCTACTATTCTCTTTGCTAGGCAACGAAGTTCGTTATACGGTGATTCAGAATTGTCCATAGACTTCTACACCAAGGAACATCAAATAGTTTTATAGAAGATTGCATCTTGGTGTCGGTTTCATTGAGCATTCTACCATTGAGGATGTCAAGTGACAACAAGCTCGATTTACCAGGAAAAGCAGTCCCGATTTAGATGTTGAGTTGAACAAACGTAGTTATTAATTAACCAAACTACATGTTATGTGCTTGATTTAACATCACATTGCAAGAAACATCCACTTATCACTTGATGAACATGTAGATTGTAGTGGTCAATTAGACGCCAGAGAGTAAGGAATCCTAACAGATGGGAAGTCTTTGTCCAATAACATCTCCCAACAAAGGAGGTATTAAGTCCATTTTGAAATGATAGGGGAAGACTTAGTATTAAGCACAAATATTAGGGGAGGTATAAATCTTTTACCCTTTCATATACCTTACAGGAGATTAAGGGGGTGGGGACAGGGCAGGGTCCATGTGAGGTCCATTGACCTTGCCATGAAGAGCTGCAGTTACGCAGGTTTGATCTCACTATATGCCAAGTGACCATCTCGACTACAAATTTGCATCAGTGTCCCCGCACAGCCCATCTGAGACATGTATTGGGAACATCTCCCCATGACAAGTACAGGAGATGTTCGTAAGATGTGCATGTAGGGCGCCTGTGGGACACGCTCTGTGGGGTGCCAATCCGATCTCCTCAACTACTGGGTCATCAACAATTTCAAGAATGAAGAACAGTGGGTTCTATACTTCTATTAGGTTCCAATCACTCCATCTTTTCATTATCAAAGATATACGCCATTCTTATTACTACTATAGGGCCTTCACCTTGTATATTAGTATTATTAATTTATTACCATTTATTGTGTCCCAAGAACATTGTAGCCCTTAGAGAGGTGAAGCGTATTATATATTACAATCCTTAATTTGTATTACAAATAACACTAAGGTTTCAGGGTTGGAAGGATGGAGGCTTCCTGATCTTTGTGGCTTGTTCAAAGGCATAAGCAATCTCAATCAACTTTGGCTCAGAACCCTTCAATCCCCCAAAGCAGAGGCCAAATGGCACGCCTGAGCAAAATCTGCACCAGGAGTCACCACAGCATCCAGCTCGTTATCAATCATCAACTTCTCAAATCCATCTCTTGATAGCTTTTGCAGATTCAACAATGCTGCCTTTTCTACAGGACCAATACCCTTTGTTCTCTCAGCTACCAGGAAAATGCCTTGCCCATATTCTTCAAGTGATTTGGTCATCTAAGCAATTACTAAATATTTCATCACTTAATGTGAGGATTAGAAGGCCCCAAGTAACACTTACCAAGTCTGAAAACTTTTTGTTGAAGGCTATAACTTCTGCCAATGATCTAACAGGGGAAACGACTAGATCTTTCAGGTAAGAGTTCAAGGCTAGCTTCAACTCAGCCACCAATGCAGTTGCTTCACCACTTTGGTTGACATTCAGGATGACATGGATGTTGTTGATTTCCAGATTGCACCCATTTGTCTTTTCATGGGTGAATGGGATAGTATATATATATAGAACTCAATTAAAAGGAATCATATTTGGACTACTTGGGTTCATTTCTAATTTTCTATGCTAGTGACATGGCAATCAGTCTTTTAGGTAGGTTATTTAGACCATTCTCTTCCATCTGTAACCCATTTGAGAGGCCTGAGCTGAACATTCAGCTAAGCTGGTTCAGCTGCTTACAATTTCAAATGCCCCGAGATAAGCTATTCAAAGAAGCTGGAGCGGGCAGCCCTTCAAATTACTGATTGACGGCTGATTTGGGCCATCTCACTCGCTATCTAGACATTTCATCAAACGTATTGGCTGTCCCTGTCCACGTATGGGACCCGCCTCCAAAAGCCAGAAGCTGCTGCTCTTCAGCCCTCCCCAAATGTAATATATGTTGTTTGTAGACAACACATAAGTCAAATATCTTGTGTCATTACAAGTTTCAAATTTTGAAAAAAGCCTGACCGGAGCCCACCTAAGTCGCACTCCTAAGGAGTAAGGAATAGGTTTTTAATCGATAAGTGATTTATAAGGTTTCTTTCCCTTTCTTTTTCTTTTCTTTTCTTTTTTAGGTGTGTATGAAGTTGGGGGTGGGGAACTGGGGATGATTGAAGGAATACCTCGTTGTTTTCAGATGATCCTCAAAGACGTTGGGGACAACTGACCCACTTGGGTAATTCAAGAATGGAATTCTAGTAATGCCCAGCCTCTTTCCTTTAAGACCGTCTGGCTTCAGAAACTGCTTGTAGCCACCATGAGGGATGAACTTTGATGCTTGTTTAGTTGCTTCAGCATCGTTCTCATCGAAGCCTACTATTGCCTCTAGTACATAAACTGCATCAGACACTGTGCGGCAAATTGGCCTGTCCTCTCCATCATTTACGTGATGGTAGCTTTTGTTAGATATAAAACTAGGATTCGGAATAGGATATCACAGGAAGCAAATAGCTTATGTTATCAATGATAATATATTAATGTAATAATCAGCACCATCATCTAAGCCTTATTCCAACTATATGGGGTTGGCTACATCCAAATGAATTCTGTTTGGCCATTCCATTATATTCTGTTTAGAAATTAATTATGAGAATCCATTGTACGTTCTTGCTTTCTCTATTAATAATTGTGTCTCCAAAGTCAAAGAGGGGGATTAGTTATACATCTCTCTAATCTTCAATCTAATTTCATAGCGAAGATGGGCTATAATAATATGCTACTATAGAGATGAACATGCACTGTCAATAACATAAACTGAGATCTATGCAGCTCAGGTCATAGACTGGTTTGAGAATAGGCTTATAAATAGCCTAAAAGTTGAATCGGCTTAGAGCCCGTTTAGAGGGACGAAGCTTTGGCTGAACTGCTTTCACTAAATAGCTAACAGAGTTCAAGAATTTGATGAATAACTTGTGTTCTATTCATTCACTTTACTGTATGAATATTATGTATAGATATGGTTGAACAAGAATTCAAAATCCAAATGAAAGATAAAGATTACAATGTGTGAGAGAGAGAGGAGCGATAAGCATTATCCTTTGACAGTCGTGTAGGTCCATGTAAGGTTCAAACAACTAACCTGATAAGCATTATTCTTAGCAATTGCTTTGGATAAGCCGCTGAAAGAAGAAGATTTTAATTTGTTTCATTCAAGCTTGTGGTGTCTCGTGTCTAAGTTAGAGCTTTAATGGGTGGAGGCGTTATGTTCAAAATTTGAAGCCTAAAAGCAAATTTTAAGGTTTGAAGTTCAACATGGTTTAAAGAAATTATGAAACTTATAATTACTTCTATTTGTTTCCTCATTTTTCTGAAGTGAACAAGATATAAATAACTTAAGATATTCAGAAGTTTTCTGTTTGCATAAATCCATGCTTTGATTACTAAATAAACTTTAGAACAGTTAGTTCTTGGTTTGGTACCCGATTGAATCCTGTCTTAGAGAGATTGGGATGATCCCAGCTCGGCTGGTGAGTCCGACGGTGGGTTTGATTGCCACAACCGAATTGGCATTAGCAGGACAGATCATTGAAGCTCGGGTCTCAGTCCCCAGTGACACTGCTACCATATTCGCTGCCACTGAAATTGCTGACCCACTGCTCGATCCACATGGACTGGCCGATAGAACATATGGATTCTGCATCAACCACACCAAAGCTTCATATTCCAAATATGGTAGGAGTAACCGAGTAACAACCCATTAATGGGTATCAAATTAATTATTGATTGGCCCAATAACCTGCAGGCCCACAAATATTTGGAAAACCAGATTGCCCAATGAACCGAAAAGGCAAAAATGTGTATTTTTTTAGGGGTTTTTACAGTTTAGTCCACCCGTAGAAATCTAGAGCTCCCCTCTAGGGGTGGACTGAATCCTGACCGTGAATTGATGTCAAATTCATAGGCAGGATGTGGTTTATAGGGGGGTTACTAGTAGACTAGGAGAGGGTTGCAAATCAGATTTCTGACGAGGATTGCAGTCCAAAAATCATTTTTTTTAAGCCTAAGATGTGTTTGATTTGTGTTTAACCGATATCGATTTTGTCTTTCTCACAAAACTTGTAGCCATGCATTAAGAACATCTCAATATTTGTATATTTTTATTCATGGGATGATATTCTTAATGCACTATTAGAAGTGAAAGGGATGTGAGGATAGTGTGAGGATGAAATCGAAATTATAAAACTCTGATCTGTACAGTTTAGAGAGATCACATCTCCGCCCCACAGGACATTCCCACCGTGTATTGGGAGCATCTCCCGATGATAATATCAATCCTGATGATGTCATCATTGGAGATGCTCCTAATACACAGCGGGAATGTGCTGTGGGGCGTTATGGGGCGGCTCGTTGTGGGGCGGAGATGTGAACTCCGGTCTAAATTGATATAAATAGAATGGAGAGGACTTTGGCTCCTATTAAATTGTAGGTACAGTTTAGGCTGTGAGGATAATGGAACCAATCACATGTCTAGTCAATATTTTCAACCCGTTGTTAACCCAAATAGTCAGACCAACCGCTCAATTAGGTTTCTCGGTCCATTTAGCCACTGAACCATTTACTCACAAAAACAAGAATATTCTTGACTGAGTCAACTACCAGATAATCTAGTCATATTGTAAACCATTTGACTCAACAAGTGGGACATCAAATCTCCTTTTTTTATTTTTTTATTTTTTAAGATTAATAACAATAATTCTCATTTGTCATAAATATTTTTCTTTAATATGATAAATATAGTAGAAACATGCCCAATTTTTATTATAAATTTATTATATTATTTTGTATTTTAGTTATTTTGTATATTTTTACAATATGATTTAACGAGATCACAGTTGAATCGCTGACCTGCCAACCAGAGGAAAAAGCAGTTTTATTTCTATATCCTATTTCAAAGCATTGCTATAGACCAATCTACTCTGCATTTTATATCATCAATGGTATCCCACCCACTTCCTTATCCCAAACCCCATTCCTGACGTCTCCTCAGCTGGTAATAAAATGAAAAGATCTAGATCCATGTGCAAGGCAAGTGAGGTTCCAAAGCACTTAGGCCCCATTTGGTTCGTTCGTAGGAATAAGGGTCTGGAATTGGAATGGGTTATTTCGATTTCAATTGTTTGGTTAAATGGAATTAAAATCTTATTCCCATTTCTGCTAGAATAACAATCCTCATTTGAGGGAATGTCCATTCTCTGTCTTTCCTTTGGGAATATCTCATTCCTGCTGATTCCAATTTTCATTCTCATTCTTGTTTGAACTAAATAGACTATGGAAATTGGTTATTCCAAATCCGATTACAAAGGATTTTGATTCCAATTCTGACTGTGAATCAAATAGACCCTTAATCATTCAATGTGATGTGGGTATTACTATGTCTATCAATTGACCAGATATTAGTCCAATCCAATCCAGTCTAATACGACTTCATTATAGATGGACCAAGTCCCATCCAATCTGTTAAATACTTTGAATCATTTTGGATTGGACCAATTCAATGTCTAAACCATCCAAATCGTTTAAATTGATTTTAATTTAGATTGGCCCAACTCAAGCTTGATCCATTTGCACCCATATTTTTATCTTACATCAATGGAGTGGATATTGGTTTAATCCAACCTAGTCCAACAAAAACTTAAACCCAACCTAAAATCCCTAAACCTGACCCAAGCCGATCCAACCCATAATTTACTTCAGATTGGGTTGGGTTCTTCTTGGGCCCAACCTGACATTTTTTTTCATCTTAAAATATCATTAAATCTCTTGATTCTCTTAATCTTTGACTAAAGAAACCTCTCATTAATTTATGGCCAATATATTAATTATATTTTTTATTCCTATTTGTTTGTTTGATGTTTTTATTAGTTTGTTTTAATATAAAAATAAAAAAATATATATTTCAAATTATTAGAGTCTCTAAAAGCATGAAATTAGCAGTTATTAAATATAAAATCATGGTATGATAATCACTAATGATAACTTATCATTTAAATTTAGATTAGAGCTTAAGAGATTATATATATATATATATAGAACCTAGAGAATGAGAACTACAGTAGACATGCATAATAGTATTAGTAATAGCGTTGTTGGGTTCGGTTTGTGGCCTTTGGGCTGAGTTGTTCGAGGGGTCAATCTTAACCGAACCCAAATCCCAAAGTGAAGTCAGATTGAAAAGTGTGAACCCTGATTCGATTGTAAACTTGATCATAGTTTTAAAAATCTATCTTGAAAGTAAATCATTTTTGTTGGATTTTGATCTCATAAGAGATTAAATTCAATGGATTTGATTGGTCAATTACATGAGAAATTGCATCTACACATTTGATTTAAAAATCAGTTTTTCTCTTATAAAAAACTCAGTTTTGAACTTGTCCCACATTGGAAAATTATAAGTTTTATTTTCAGTATTTCAATAGGAGCTCATTTACACTCTTTAGAATTAGTAGAGGAGAGTATGGGGATTTGATACCACACAACGCGTGCACACGCGTGCGCGCGTGTGTGGCACAATGAGGCGCTTTAAAGGCGCACTTTGCTCACACTCGCGTGGCTCGCGATGAGTGGCTCTGGTTTTGGTGCGTTGATGACCGTTGATCACCATTGATGAGATCAACTGTCATGATTCGATTGGGTGTGATCAAGAGGCACATTTCAAAGTTAATGGTCACAAACTGTTAACAACTTTTTAAACAGTCACAATTTTTGAAATTGTGACTGTTCAATGTGACTTCTCTAAACCAACACCTACATTTTCTTCATACCTCTTCACAAATTATTTAAGGAGCATGAATCGAACTCCAAAACACACAATTTCGAAATTCACTCTATCTCTCTCTCTCAGTCCGGTCTGCTACAGTCTCACAGAAGGTTTCTTTGGAGATTCAACTTTGCTGGTTGCAACTGTAAACTCAATAAAACTGAGTGAGGGGCAAATAACGTTCTAAAAACAGTGTTTTCAGACGTGCCTCAGAGCTTCTCCTCCAAAATTATAGTGACCCCATCTTCTCCAACCCACCGATTTCTGGGTCAAAAGTCCGACCACACGATCTAAACCCGTCAGACAATTTTAGGGTCCAAAAACGGACCTGGAGCCATAACCATTTCTAGGTCAACCTGTCCGACCATCCGATCTAATCGGTTTTCAGAGCCACGAAAGCCCAACTCAACTTTTTCGGGTTGGGTTCGGACTTCGGACTAGCGGACTGAAGTTGCAGCCCTTTAAAGTTTAAACGTTTTCTATCTTCCACAACTCACCAGTCCCGGACCACCTCTTGCGCTCCACCCATCAGGTAGAGTGAGAGAACGGGAATCCGACCATTCGGTGAGGCTGGCCTTCCCTAAGATCACGACTCCGGCATCTCTGAGCCTCTTCACAACGCCAGCATCACGAGGAACAACCGAGCCCAGCAACGCAGAAGACCCTGCCGTGGTGTTGAGCTTGTCCTTGGTCGCGATGTTGTCCTTCACCAAAACCGGGATTCCATGCAGCTCAGACAACCACCCAGGTGCCTTGGCCTTTCGCTCACCATCGGCCTTGTCCGCCTGGTACAGCGCATCCGGGTTCACCTCGATCACGCCATGGACGAGCGGGTTAAGCCTACTAATCTCCCCGAGATAGAACTCGACCAGTTGTCTTGATGTTAGCTTGTTTTGCTGGAAGGCCAGCTGCAGGTCGTCCACATTGGCTTCCTTGATGGAGAAACCGTGGACTGTCACCCTGGTGCTAATTAGACCTGAAAAGATCAGAATCAACAACGCATGCGAGAGAACGAGCTGGAGAAGAATCTGGCAGTGGAACGCCATTGAAGCACTGGACGTATAATCGAGAGTTTGATGACAAGTTCGCTGACCTAAAATTGGTGCAGTTTCACCTGAAGATGATATTTTATAATATAGGCAAATTAAAAAGCTTTTTCAACTAGCCTTCAAAATTCAAAGTTTATGGGTTGTGTTGATTTGTTGCATTCGAAGATGACAACAGCCCAACTTCGGATTGAGATCATTCGATCTGGGTCATCGTAATCTGGCTGTTGTGATCCTGGCCAATGAGAATTCTTAAATGCTTGATTTCAATTCGACCCAGTAGTTATTTACTCTCATAAGCAATTATATACTAATGGTGTCACAATATTATATTGAGATCTTAATGGAAGTCTATGTTTTTTGAATTGTTTTTTATTAAACGAGTTGATAATTCTCCTGGTCAAGACGTCATTAGGGCTTCTAATTAAGCTTTGTTAACTTGTAAAGTTTTAGGAGCCCATCAATGGAAAACGTGTTAGGATTCACACAATGTAAATTTCTTAAACTACCCTTATAACTAATTGACTAAGTGTACAATGCTACCTTTATTGTTTCTCTGATAATTGACTAACTCTACCCTTAACGTTAACATCCGTTAATATTCCATCAAAATCCATAAACACGTGACACCACGTGACGTTTAAAAATTTTTAAAACCCAATGTTACCCTTATCCCCTTCCTCTCGACCCGGCACACCCTTCCTCCTCCGACCTCTCTCTCTTCCATCTATCTTCCTCCCACAGTCTCCATCAGCACTATCACCTTCCTCCTCCGACCTCTCTCTCTCTTCCCTCTATCTTCCTCCCACAATCTCCATCAACACCAGATCACCTTCCTCTTTCAACCTCTTTCTTCCCTCTATCTTCCTCTCACAATCTCCATCACACCAGATCATCGGAGATAAGTACACCATACCCGCATTGTATAAAAGAACTAAAAAAACCAAAAAAAAAGTAAAGCATTTGTCGATCTCTTCACGGTCAAGAACAAAAAAAGAATAAAAGAAAATTAAAGCAGAGAACGAGTGAACCGGCACACCCTTCATCCTCTTTCTTCTTCAACAGTGGGGGTGCTCTATTGAAGAGTAGAGAACGAGTGAACCGAATAGGGGCGGCAGCAGCGGCAACTGAAGTGGTATGAGCGAACTGAACAGGGGCAACGGCGGCAGCAACTCCCTCTGAAGTCTGATCTTTCTCTCTCTCTCTTCTAACTTTGGGCGACAACAGTGGCAACCCCCTCTGAACTCCCATCTCTCTTTCTCTCTCTCTTCTTCCTCTAGGCAACGGCGACGGCAGCGACAACCCCCTCTGAAGTCCCATCTCTCTTTCTCTCTCTCTTCTTCCTCTGAAGTCCCCTCCTTCGACTTCTTTTTCATAGGGTTGCAAACTGTTTGTCCAAGTTTGAATTTGAATTCATTCTGAGGATGATCAAATATGAATCCACCATATATAATTAAATCAAATATGAATCCACCATTATGGGATGTGACTCGATTTAAATATATATCAGCTTGTATATACTTAAAAGTTATATTGTATTTATATGGATAATTAATGTTGGTTTGAATGCTTGTAAATTTTCTAAGGATTAAAGAGTCATAGGTTCAAGTTTAAGTGATATTTTGATGAGGGCGGATCTTAGTGCAATGGTTGGGTTGTTCCATTGTGATCTGTGATGTGGATGACCAGGGTTTAAATTTTGAAAACAGCACCTCTATATGTGCAGGGGAGGTTGTGTAAATCTGTCCCTCCCCAGACCCTACATTGTACAGAAGCCTCGGGCATTCGCGGCTGCCCTTTATTCATTATCAGATTATTAATGCTATTCATTATGGACATATTAGATTCGATTGGAACGATCTGCTTGCAGCTCTACTTCTCATATCATTATTATCCTGTATTTAGTGTGCAAGTTGCAACATGTGACACCTTCGGAGAATACAAGATGACCAAACCAAGAAAAAGAGATCGGTCATGAGAACAAGTTGTGTCCAAGGTGAAGTAATCTATAGCAACTGCCCAACTGTAAAAGAGTTTGTCTAGGAAATTGCATAGAAGAGCGGAACAGGGTATCTGGCAAGTAATTGCTAATTTGCTACTATTATTTATCGACCAATTTGGCTGTGCACGTGTTTGGTTTGAAAGAAAAGGTAGGAAAAGAAAGGGAAAAGGTAGGGAAGCCTATATTCTTTCAAACCAAACACAGTCTTTATGGAAAATTTGCTGAATTACCACAGGGAGTGCGGGAACCAACTGCAACTGGTTATTGGCCATAAACTATAAAGACCCCATTAATTATCTCAAATTGGGTCTGACTGAACACCAGCAGGATAAATAAAAAAAGTTGCAGACCCAATTTGGTTTGCATGACACAACACAGACTGTAAAGTTAGACTTGCTGCCCATTGGATAGGCAAATTGGGAGCAGATGAATGTTAATACCTCTTGAATCAGCATCCCACATTTAAATTATGGAAACAAAAGCTGTCATTGTTTCTCTCCCTATAATGATGAGAATGTGAAGTGCTTTTTCTTATCTTGTCCTTGTCCATTAGCTAAAGGCAACCACTTTGTCCCTCTCTTCGGTGCTATTTGAAACTTTTTTAACTCTAATCTTCTTCCTCATGACTCTAAACATATAGAAATATATAGGCGTGACAAATTGATAAGTTGGGTTGGATGCGGGTTGAAGACAATTCATCCATGGATCACCCATACCCATTGATAACCCATAATTATCCAACCTAACTCACACCCATCTTCATCCACTTGAAATTTAAAACCATATAAACAAATCTTTATTGAGAAAAAAGAAAATTTTGGATTTCTCCTATAATGCCACATGTCCTTGATTGATTCACCCAAACATAAAAAAATTGGACTTTCATTAGAAGAAATAGAAAGGGGGAGAAAAGTGAGAACCAAGAGAAAGAATCTAAAAGAGAGATAATAGAAAGGGAGAAAGAATAAAGAGGAATAAGAAACATAGGAGAGAGAGAGAGAGAGAGAGATGAAGATAGGAGGGAGAGGAGACAGAAAGACGAAAGAGAGATGAACGAGATGGGAAGGCAAGGTTCAAGGCATTGATACATATCGCATACATTGGTTTTCAAGGTCAGCGATACAGTAAATACTTAGAATCAGGGCCTTTCAATGGCTGAGTATTAATATCAGTCCTACTATATTTTTAATGAAATGTCAGGATGATAAAACAAATGAAACAATTAGTATCGACCTTTCAAGCTTCAACATGCTCAATACTCAAAAATAACATATCGATATTTCATTTTTTAACCATGACGGGAGGGAAGAGAGAAAAAACAGGCTATGTAGAAGAGGAGAGAAAAAAGAGAGGAAGAATAGGGAGAGAGAGAAGTTGTGGGAAGAGAGAAGAGAGAAAAATAAATTAAAAGAAAAAAGAGAGAATTATATATTTCTTTCATGTGGTTAATGGCTAGTACCCCCAAAAAAGCTTCTTTTGTGTAATTGACCCAAATAGAAGCCCACTACCCTATCTTACACAAGTACACAACCCGATGGGGTTACTAGACCCGTGTTCAATCCTCACCTTAAAAATATCAGAACAGTCATGTAGATCAATCCGGATCTCCTATAGCTGTATATTGAGAGCATCTCCCCATGAAGATACAGAAGATCCGAGCTCCATGTAGATGCCACCAAGCTGTAGCCCAGGTACTTCCGAGATCCACCACCAGAGAGATTGGTTCAATTGAGTCCGGACCACGCCTCACACCATGTCCTGGCCACACATCGGAAACATCTCCCATGCTTGTATTTATCATTCATGGGAGATGTTCCCAATACAGGGTGGAATGTGGCTGTAAGGTCGGTGGCGCAATCTGTGAGGAACAGATCCCAATTCCAGTTTTGGTTATCACCTGAAGGGCTTGGCCATGGGCCCACGGAACCACCTAGAGCCTGTTGGGGGACAAGGCTTAGACGATGATGATTTATTTGAAGGAAACTCCTTGAAAACCTGTTCTCCCTTGTACAAGGTCCTGAGATTGCTTATACCTTGGGTTCCAGAAAGCATAGCTCCTAGGCTGTTGCTAAGGCATTCAATAGAAGCAAAAGCCAATCACCCTCGAAAACAGCCCATCCAAACAGGTTCCGTGTTCAGCCAATGAATTGGTTGACATGCAGGAGTTGGAAGATGCTCTTGTACGGACGAGGCCCTAGTTCAGCCAAGTGGCCACTTGTATGCATTTTACTTCTATTTGAACCGTCTCTGGCTGTTAGTAGTGTATCTTGCTCCTGAAGACTGTCCAAAAGAAAGGGTTCAGCACAAAAAAGAGGTTTTTCATTCACACTTTGTTTTGGTTTGATTGTTGAGGTTCATTCCCATTTAGCTCATCAATCATCATTAACAAAGAAGCTCTGATCGTGTATTGCTGACCAAAAATTTGAAATATATATAATATAATATTGATTTCCATCTGCAACAAATAGTATCTCAATCAATCTTCTTGTTGGAGCGTCAAATCATCATGTTGCATTTACAAGTCTTGAACTTCCTCCTATCAGAAATTCTATGCACAAATTGGAATTACTCTATTATTGCTACAAAAATATACAACAGGATGACGCTCTCCCAAAACCCATAGTCAGTTCTTTACATATATAGATTGGCTGGTAGAGGCACGAGGAAAAAAACAGAAAAAAAAAAAAAGAAAAACAACCAACACACATTCATCTCTGACACAGCCCCCATCAACCTCAAAAGACAGCCAACGATACCCAATGGCCCCCAATCACTCAGCTTTTGAAATGTGGGAGCAATATCAGGCCAGATGAATATATAAAATTAGGGAAAAAACAGAACAATTAAAACATGATAAAATCATATGAACCTATTGACTGGAGAACTCGAAGTGCAAAAAATCGTCCCGATCCAGTCATTGTGTGCATTCAAACTGAGATGGCACTATGAGTGTCGCATATTCCTGGAAAGAAAAAACAATATCCCATCAGTAATCATACTTGTCTCCAACAAACTACATAGAAAAAGAGAGAAGCTAAAGTACTACTGAAACAGTAATCCATTTCAAAAATATAGAAAATTTAATCAAATTGCTATATTGTATTTTAGATCTTATGAAAATACCCCTCATTCAAAGCTAGACCTGAGCTCAGGGTAGACCAAAAAGGACATGGGTAGTAGTAAGAAATGATTTAAGCACCAATAATTTAACAGTGGATACAGCTTTAAAAAGAACGAATTGGAAAAATAGGATTCATGTAGCCGACCCCATATAGTTGGGATAAGGCATGGATGATGATGATTCAAAGCTATAGACCCATACAGATAGTAATAGCATCTTTTATTTGAGAAGGAAATCACAAGTGCCAGTTTGACCAATATGTTTCTCAACTTTGAAATGAAGAAATATCAAACAGAACAGAAGCCACATATGTTACTTATTAAAAGCTCTCCCTATGCATACAATGCAGAGAATGTATGCAAGAAAAGAAAAGAATCTTTGTCAAGGTACTTAGCTATGTTACCCAGAAACCACAAGGAAACAGCTGGACAAGATGTTGGATACAAAAATTAGACTAAAATTGAGGTATCCTACATGATACAACAACTTTGTGCATGTATCCAGGCCTCACAGGATACTAGATGTGATTCATAAAAGAATCCATTTTATATTAAATATAGAAATAAAGAAATAAAGACTCTACCTAGCAGAAAGCAACTGAGAACTATTGACAGCCCCCCTGGGAGCACTAAGGCGCCGTGCCCTTGGATCATTGTTAGCCCGCATAGCTGCTACTTCCTTTTCCATGGCAGCTACTTCTCTTCGCATCTTTTTGGCCTCAACTTCCATTGCTTTATTCAAGGTATCAACCTTCTTTGCGAGCATCTAGTAGAAATAATTAAACTTAGATTCAAGAACAGATGATTGGGAAAACAGAAAGGTAAAAAGGAATTGTAAGATTTATATACAGAAGATAGTAATACTGAACCTCTATTGCATCATCCTTGTCCTTGAGGCTCTGATCCTTTTCATGGCAAGCTTTCCTCAAGATAATGACCTCCTTTTGTAGTATATCGTACAAAAGTCCAGACACATATTCCTCATGACCTGCTTTTGTGTTCTCACTTGGTTTCCCATCTGAAGTGTCCTTGCATGTAGTAGTTGTCTCAGTATTTTGCATGCCATCAGTGACTTTGTTGGGTGTAGTAACTTTTCCAGTACCACCTGATGTGACTTTATTTCTGTCAACCGATCTGCTACCGCCATCAAATGATCTTGATGAACACTTGGCCTGCTTTAACAATACACTTGCACTGTTTGAAGCCACAGATCCAAGTTGTGAATTTGACGACCGCCTTGATGAAAAGCCATTGGAAGATGGCCTGGATAGGTTTTCTGCCCCACCAAGGGACTGCCGCCTGGAAGGCCCATTGCTTATGCTTCTTCCTTCCAATGTGGTACGGCCATTTACACTAGGGGGGTGTCTCAATCCTTCTTCAAGAACTTTGAGTCGCAATTGATATTTTTCCTAAAATCCAGATCAATCAATAGAAAAAAAAACATTTAGATGAGGTTAAATTATTAAATAAGCCCTGGATAGTCACTATAATTGGTAATTTTGCTCACCTTCAACTGGGCTTCTGCTCTTGCAGCTCGCTCTGCTACTGCCAGTTTGTCTCGAAGTTGTTGCATTTCTCCCTGCATATAGTATATCAGGCAATATTAAGTCAAATCTCCAAAACATACAAAAGAAAATTTTTTGTTTATTCTATAACCAGACATTTTTGCAAGAAACCAATTTCTATCAAATATGTCCTCATGACTCCAAAGTATCATTCTACTTAGCCTTACACAGTTTTGAAATCCATAATTTAATTAGAAAATGCTAGCTATCTAAGCTTTTTAACATTTCCCTCTTGTAATTTTCTCAAGATTTTCCAAATAACCCAAGAAAGAAAATAACTAGTGCCCTTGTAGATTTTTGGCCTTTGCTCTTTCCTTGAAAAGATGTTCTTGGACACATTTCTTCTGAATAAATTTCAATGCATTTGATTAACCAAGGAGAAGATGACAAAGACCCCTCATGAACTTATTGAGAAACATATCTTCAAGATGAGAAATGTGACTTTGACACTTCCATTATAATAATTTCCATACAAATCAATATAGAAAAGGAACAGTTATAGCAAAAAATAGTAAGGAGTGAAGGGCAAACTATAACATGCCTGGAAAAATCTTCTCTCTTCAAGCCACTGCTTCACAGGCATAACCTTGTCGTTGGCATCTTTCCATTCGTTTGCAACTACAACTGCAACTCGATTTGCAGTAACCTTTGCACGAGCTAGTTCCCGATCAAGAGTTTTCCTCTCCTCCTAATCAAGGATTTTAAGTTGAATTTTGCTTACATTCAGGATAGATATCGTTTTTTTTTTTTTTTTTGAGAGAGAAAAAAAAAAGATATCCATCTATTATTTTGAAACAAATTATAGATATCTATTACTTAAAAGAAATAATCATGTAAAAGAGAAGAAACTCACATTCATCTCCTGCACTTTTCGTTGGTAATCACGCACAGCATTTGCAGCAGCTCCACCAGCAAGAACAGCCTCCTCTAGCTCACGGACAGTTTGGCTTAGCTTTTCGACCTCTGCAACCTTTTGCCTATGCATTTTGTCTAAGATCTTATTCTCCTCCTGATACACAAAGCCAATAAATATTAGAACTAATCATTCATACAAATGGTAGATGGTTACTAACATGCCAACAGAACCATACAATTGGCTATATACAAAAGTAATTAGTTAAATATCAAACAAGAAAAAAAATAAAAATAAAAACCTGGCAAATTTCAATCTGCTTCATTAACTCCTGGTTCTTATTTTGAACATCCTCAACCAGCGATGCTTTTGCCAAGGCAATCTGTACAGTTCTCTCGGCTTCAAGTAGAGCAGCTTCCTTTGATTTAGTAAGCCGATCTAGTGCCCTATTATCATCCTGTAGCTTTGCAACCTGATAAATCAAAACCCAATTTCAAATACACACATAGATAAAACATATCCTTGTTGCTCTTCCTTATCTTTACTATATAATGCCAATACTTGCATTGGCTTCACATCCAAGCCATAAAAGTTAAATCTGAAAATTTTAATGGCCCCATATAATGTCAATGATAGCAAACAATAGTTGTCTAAATATTTTAATTTTTAAATCCACTCACTGAGTTAAGATATTTTAAGTATCATAAAAAAATTCAAAACCTAAATGTCTTTTTGTCTTTTCACTCTTTTATTTTTACTTAAATACGCGCATGGCATGTGCCTGCCACTAAAACTTGAGCCCATTCACAAGCAGTCGTCCAAGAATCAAATGCATGTATATCATGAATATTATTAATATGCATGTTACAAGAAACTATGGCAGCGATCATACACAGTAAAACTTGAACATACCTCAAGCTTAGCAAGTTTTAGCTCTGCCTCCAGTGGAGTGATGATGGCCTCAATTGGGGGCATGTCATCATCCTTTTGAGCAGCGTGGACTCTACGAAGTGTGGCTTCTGCTGCAAATTGTGCAGCAAGAGCTGCTTTTTTCTCATCATTTATCTTCTTGATCTCAAGGTTCTATAGAAAAAGACGGACAGGCTATGTCAGAATATACTTGTTGAATGTGGAAAATAACTTTCTCAAATTAAATAGAGACAACATCCAGAAAGCAAAAAGCAAAAACAATACATTATACCTTGTTCTCTAAAAGAACTTCAGTTGCCTTTAGCTTTCCATCCACTTTTTTCAGTTCATCAGTTAGCTGGTGGCATTGACCAAAATGGTAATGAGACATGACTGAATTAAATAAAAAAAAAAATCAACAGGAGCTATTATCCATAAAGGCACTTATAACTTGCAAATGAATTAAACAACAAATTAAATTAATTTTTTGACCAAAAGTCAGAATCCCCAGATGATACAGAGGTTGTAGATGTCACTTCTCTTGTTCTTCATTTATTAAAGTTCGGGATAAATTCCCCAAAAAGCACAGGTTTTTCTAATTGAAGTTGTATGGTTGAATCCTACTCCACAAAAAATTAAGAGTTTTTATGTCACTGGGACATTGAAAACCAGTACCTGCAAGATGCTAAAATGCTTCTATCCCCAGATATTCTTTTATGCAAAGCTTGTGGTGAGACTGTTTCTCATTCATGTAACTCATTTGAATGTGTAATTGAGATTTGCAACCAGGGAAATTTTCTTCACACCTTCACACACACACACACACACACACAGGGAAATTTCCTTGCCTATACAATATACAAGACTAGCTTCTTAACTCTTCACTCTATGAGTGCAAGGTCATGTGAAGGAGCACTTGTGCTGCAATCCCACAACATATTTGGGAAAAGAGAGATTTTCTCCAACAAATTCCTACCTGTCAGGCTAATCATCAATCAAATCACCATAGGACTAGCAAATTGGATACTGAAAAGTGAAGCTTTTGAAGGGATATCAGTGGATGTGGTGGATTAGGGGCTGCCAGATGATTATTAGTTAATTATTCCAAAGATAGTTTGTTATTGATTCTTTTTTTTGGTAAGTAACTTCAAACTTTATTAAATATGAAACAAAATATGTACATACAATCAGGTATCCCTTGGAGAGGTACAAGCTAAGCTACTACCTCTCCTATCAGTTGAACATCAAATTACAATTGAGCCCAATATGATCCCTATAAATCGCTTGTTTTTCTAGTTTATCAGCCAACCCATTAGCCGGCCTTTGGAGCCATTTGTACCTTTGTAAACATGTTTCTTGTTAGTCATGTCATTTAAACTTTTTGGTTTCATCCTTGTAAGCCTATACCACTGTCTCCGCATTCCTTGGCCAACCCACCACCACCTTAGAATCACCTTCGATAATCAATTTGTCCACATTCATGTTTCTCGCCATTTGCACTCATTGAAGTACAACAAAGAATTCAACAAATTACCATGAAGTTCAATTCCGGTGGGCAATTCCTTGGAAACTCAGGCCAGTGACAGTTGAGAGAGCTTTCAAATGTCATGGAAGCAAGGTCATAATGTCATATTGGTCATTTAGATCCAATTGGTATAGACAGTGTGCTCAGAGTAGAGAGTTTAGTTTTTCCTTCTCTAGAGGCTAAGTTTCAAGTACTCCTTAGGTATTGAAAAAAATGAGATTGAGAGAACACATCAATATGGGTGGATCCGGTGGGTTGATGGGATACTGACATTATATCAAGGAGATAACAGCCCTTGCATCCAGAGAGAACAGATCATTCAGATAAAATCATAGATTGCCCAACTCAATAGTGCACAATCTTCCCAGAGAAATATTGATTATCCAAACAAAAAACTTTCCAGGGAAATATTATCAAGGTGGCATGGGTTGATGGGGGCTTATGTGCTAATTAGGTGATGGTATTTGACAAATGATAACTTATTGGATATAATCCAAGTTGATATATGCCATATTTTCAAGTTTTTATTATTTTGTATGGAAAAATAATAAAAGAAAGCAATAAAACATATTATTGCTTAGTTACTTTTATTTTTAAAGTCATAACTCAATTTCAAGGAAGAGGACACATTCTGGAAAAAAAAAAACTTTCTTGCTCTGTAGGTAGTTCTCTACTCTCCTTCAGCTCATTTGCTTATTTCTTAAGTACCTGTTCACCAGGTTGATTGTGAATTTGTGATTGAATTTCTAGCATCCAGGTCAATCCATCATATACATTTTCTTATGCTTCTTTGCTTTCTAAAAAAACCATCTCAGTGAGTCAGCGTTTACCAAAAGAAGATGGGGATACATGCTGTCTCATTATAATCTTGACTATAAGACAACAATTTATGACTATCCTGTGGCAGAAACTTAACAATTACAATCCTTAGGATGTCTCATTAGATTTGCAGTAATGTGAAAACCCATATTGACCAAGTATTGAGAACCAGGCTAATGGTCAATTGAATTAATGTCACCTCGACATTAACATAAAACAACTCATGAAAAATAATCAATATGGGAGACATCAATTAGAATCACATTCTATGAGATTTTATTGATCCAAAATTCAAAGAATAACAGCATTTCATATTTCTCATTAAGGAAGAACAATTCTAGGTTTTGACATTTAGTGATCACTGCTCGATGCAATGGTAAAATCTCAGGCTGACAAGCACAAGAATGCAAATTCAACTTTAAGTGGCCTTTTATTTCAAAAGTGCTGGAGACTAGGTCTCCAGCAGTCCACCCCTCCCAACACCCCAGAAAGTCAGGACCAGCATTGGGTAATGGCCTTTTGACATTTCCAAATATTTTGTAGGCAGCTGGCATCTTGATATTTCATGTAGTTACCTCTTCGACAGCCTTTTCTTTAAGACGCTCGGAGTACTTTAGTGCCTTGATCTCAGCTTGCGCCTCTCCCAATTCCCTCTCCTTATCTGCAAATACAGGATAAAAGGTAATTATCCAGTCAGAGTTGAATACCTACTTCTGACCTCTGACTTAATTTTACTCATAGCTATGTGTCAGACAGTCAAAATTTAACACATGTTTGGGTGTTTGGTTCAGTAAGATGAAAAACATGGATATGGGGGCCACATGCAAGATAAGTATTTAGTATTGAAAATTTTGTATAGAATTTTATCATCCAAAGATACATGTACCTAAAGAAGATGGAATAAGTATATGCAAAAGTTTATCCTTGTTACTTATAACCATTCTATAAAAAAAATAAAAAAAAGAACATGGAAATCGTTATGTATATTAGATGATCATTCATATCAATTAAGAAAAGAGAAGAGAAAACTACAGAAAAAGAGAAAAAAAAAAAAAAGCATATCTATAAGTGCCTCCTCAACCATCCATGGAGTGTCAGAATCCAACATGTCCAATGAACACACTTCATTCATTTAGCAGAATTCATGTAACACTGCCTTTATTTTTTCTATGTAATTAAATTCCTAAATGCCCATAGGCAGTTAGGCGATATTGCAAGTCAAATTATCCTGCATGAACTAATGACGCAGACCATTCTACCAAGAGAGAAGGACCAGAATCCACCGGAAAAAAAAAAAAAAAGAAAATTGAAAACACATGAAGTTACAAACAATCCCAGGAATAGAAATCAACAACTCTGAAGATAATGATAACTACAAGAAGTCTCCTTTATTATTCATCAAAAAAAAAAAACTATAAGAAGTCCCCTTTTGTCCTTCCCTCTGTTGAAGGAACTGAAGCTAATGAAAAGAAACCATGTTTTTGAGTTAAGAAGTTTCTGAGATGATTGAACAAAATTAAAATGGTGAAAATGCATTTGAGGTTTTAACTTCCTATAATAGGCTTACAGTAGGTGTTTGTTCAATTAAAGCATTTATCAGTCGCTTCACTTGCTTATCAGGAAAACAACGAAAGATTTCGACACTTTTCAATAAAAAATACAAATATCATGAACGACTGTTACCACCTAAAAACAACATTACTTAACAAAATTAAATTAATTGAAAAAAAAAAGAGAAAATCCAACAAACACAAATCAAGCATTTGAACAACTAAAAATAAGGAAAAATCTAAAAAAGAAAAGCCAAAAATAAGGAGCACCCTTGACGTCTTCTTTTTCTGAACGGTGCACAGAAACTCCAGGATAACAACAAAATGGTATTTTAATACCCACTTAAGGTGCATTATCGGCACATGAAATGACAAAAACACTGAGCTTCTGTGGGTTTTTTTATTTTTTATTTTTTGGCTGCAAAGCTTCTGTGGGTTTCTGTACATTCACTTAGAAATATCGAGATTTGAACAACCAAAACGAGACATTAAAAGAGAGAACTAAACTCCAAAAACCCTAACGGACAACAGTGGCAAGAACAGAAATAAAAACATCTCATTTTTCCTTAAAATTAATTAATCACCAACTAAGTGAATCCAGCTAAGACATCCGATCAACGAATAAGCGAAAATTCTAAGAAAAAGTTGGAACCCCTCACCTCTAGCTTCATTTTCGAGACGATTGAGCTCGACTTTGACTGGATCGGAACCGTGCAAGAGGTTGATGAAGTCGTCGACCTCAGAACCCACCCGAGAGATAGAGCTCTTCTTCCTGGACTTGAACGAAGCCGACGTGCAAAGAACCACTGATTTAGCAGAATCCGAGCTCGGAGTTAGCTCGCCGTTTCCAATGTGAGTATCCGCCATTAGAGATCTGGTTCTGCTCAGGCATGAAAAACTGAAACCCTAGAAATCCACTCCGAAAGAGAGCGAGAGAGGGCTGTTGGGCTTTATTTTCCTGGAAAAAAAAAAAAAAAAAAAAAAACGAGAGGAAAAGGAGAAGAGAGAGAGAGAGACTATTTTTAAGTTGTAATTAAGGGAGTATTTAGCAGTTTAGCAGCGTTTAATGAAAGAGACGGAGAGATTTAACTAAAATAAATGTGGAACTTTATGCAATGTTTCACTCTGTGTTTCTCATTTTGTTGCAGATTTGATTCCTACACTGGGCCCACATATCTGGTGTGCATGGGAAGGAATTGATGTGGGACCCAGTCTGTATTCGATTTTGATAAGAAGAACTTTTGTCCATCTTTGAGAAAAGTTATTACACGTGAAAAAAGAATTGTTCTGATCGGACGGTCAAGATCTTTTTATCGTGGATAACTATCATCATACACATACTCCATGTAGCACTGGATCTCTACGCCTCAGTTGTTACGATGCAGTCAACAGTCAAGTGACTGGTTGCAGCGCGGTTGACGCCGTGACGGAAATCTGGAATGAGATTCGGGTCGGTTCAACTTTAGAAAGACCCACGCTCAATTAGACCAGGAGAGCCAGCGGGTTGGTGGGTTCGGGGTCAATAAATGCGCTAGTTATGAATTCACTTATCCATATTTCTCATGTGGCACATGAGAGGTTCCTGAGATTTGTTTATATGGGGCATGGATCTAATGGATTGAACCGTATGTTTCTAAATCTGGGATATTCGAACCGTTCACAACACGAGTAGAAACCGGATCTTAAAAGCCAACCATCAAGAAATAAACCTGGATGTGGAATTCTTTTTGTTAATGGACCGGATCCGGGTCCAACATATATGAATTATTGAATAATACGATTTTTATCATTGGTTTTGGATGTAATCAGGTCAGAGTTCATGGTAGGGGTGCAAGTCGGACCGGATTATATTGGGTTGAAATTAATCCTAACTCAACCTAGGTTATTAAACCCTAACCCTAATCCTATTAAAATTAGGTTTGGCCAGTTTTTTTCATTTCTTTTTGCTATAATCTACTTATTCCTTAGATTTAAGATTTCCGGTTTAACGTACAAGTACTAGCTGTATTGCTTTAGCAGTATTATATACTTACCTTATACTAAAAGAATTGCCTTTAAAATACAAAATTATTGATAGGGCTGTCAATGGGTCAGATCTAGTTCCGTTATTTTGTATATATTAATAATTGGGCCGATTTATGGTTCTTGTTTGTTCTAAATCAATTCACACCTGAACCAATTATTTTGTTAATAATATATAAAGGTTTCTAGTTTTTTTTTTATAAATTTTATCGAAAAGGTTTAATTTGATAAATAATAAATAAGACAATTTTGGTTAATTAAAATACTTAATTTATCAACATATAAATAACTTACATTTTACTGTCATTTTTATTAAAAATGTTATATTACCAAAAATCAAGTTTTAAGTTTGTTATTTATATAAATAATTGTAGATGTCAAAATAATCAGGTCTAATCGAGTCAGACCCATTTATCCTAATTAATAATCAAACAATAGTTGATAGTTGATACAAAGACAGAGATACATAAATTCATGGGTGCATATATAATCATTTATTTACTAATAAAAAAATAGTGGCATATATAGTCATATTCTACGTGGTTATATAACATACAAATTATGAATTAATTTTACTTGGGAGCAAGTTGGGTGTGCTTGAATTGATTATATAAACTATGAATTTATATGGTCAATTTGCACCCTAAATTGGTGCAAAGTTCAAAATATCTCAATGTATAATATATCCTTCCCATAGCATCCCAATATGCTAAATCACACATGTTTCAACATTTGACCACTTTTAGGGGGTAGCCAAGCCAAGATTGATTCCCAGTAAAATTTTGAAAAAAATAAAAATAAAAACTAAAAAAGGGGGGCATATCTACCAAACACTTGATATACAAGTCCGTACATATCGGCTGCATGGGTGTCTCGATATTTTGAACCTTGGTTGGGTGAACTTTAAATTAGTTGCACAACATCCCTCAAGGTGTAGGATTATTGAATTTATATATCTACAAGCTCTTTGTGACGTAGGGTCGAACCTGTCTATCGCCACCATGTCCCTGCTAAACTTCACTTCTGTGTATTGATTCAACTATTTTTATACCAAAAATTAAGAAAAGGAAAGAAAAGAAACTTAATTGACCAACCCATCAAAATCCAGGTATGGGTAAAACATGTCACAGCCAATTAATAGAAACCATTCTCATACTCTGATGCCCCATAACCATATATAATATGGGCAGTTAAGCATTAGATGAGTGTGGTTTTATTATGTCATGAGACCCACCATCCATGTGATAAGCTTTAGAAGTCTTTGGGTTGGAGCTTTCTAATCAAAGTATTTGATTTATGATGGAAGGACATATGAGCTACCTTCCTTATTTGAATTAGGAAACAATGCACTTTCAAATATATAGATTGTCAGATTGGGATCCATATTTACTTTACATATATTTTTATCTTGAGTTGGAATTTATTTAGTCCCACAACACAACCTTCGTGCATTGGGAATATCTCTCCATACATCATACTATATAGATGATGAAATGTTCCTCATGTGTAGCTGCGATATCATATGGGTAGATGTAGGCAGAGTTCTTATGAACAAGGGATCCGAACTGTTCAAAGAAGTCCTAGAATTTTATTTTTCCACCACAACTATAATATCAGAAACGCATGCATGATACCTAAAAAAATGGGTAATCAATCAATTGGCATGGCAAAAATGGTAACCGATCATTATTATTACCGATGATTCAATAGCTGAGATGGTCACTCAGAGTCCCTCTTAAAATTGATTGGAGGTGTGGAATCAAGCCGTCACAACTGTAGGCTAAGGTCAATGGGTCGATCTGATATAAGCACCTGCTGTCACCTAGGAATGGCAACGGGGCGGGGACTACATTCCCCATCCCCGACCTCGACCTCGACCCCCAAATCGCCCCCATCCCCATCCCCAATCCTCGGCGGGGAAAGGAATCCCCCCCCCCATCCCCATCCCCAATCCCCGTCAGAGACCCGAATCCCCAACAAACTGGAGACTGAGTTTGAGTCTCTGAGAGACTGAGAATGAGAGTCAAAGAGAGAAAGAGAGACAGAGAGAAAAAGAGAGAGAGAGAGGACCGTTGCGAGAGCTGAGGTCAGCGATGAGAGAAAATCTGAAGGGCGAGGCAATGGCAACGGCGGTCGATGACGATGACGAAGGTTGAAGGAAGATTAAAGAGCTGAAACTCTTCTTTGAGTATCTCTTCTTTGTCCTCTGTTGAGACTCAAGTATCTGATCTGTCCTCTGTCCGATGTCCAACAACGACAGGCGAGTGGTGGTAGTCAGCGATGGTGGTCGATAGTCGGCGAATCGGCGACGAAGATGAACTAACAAAGGAAGAGAAACCTAGGGTTCTGTCGAAGATGAAGACGAAGATGAACTGGCAAGCCTTTTACTGTTTAAGTGTTTTTTAAGTTTTAATCTTTTAAAAAACGAATAATAATTATTATAATATATAATATATAATATAATATTATAATATATTATATATATAATATATAATTATATATATTAATCAGGGACAGGTCCGAGCGGGGATTGCATTTCTCGTCCCCGTCCTCGTTCTCGTCCCCGATCGGGGATTCAGGGGTAGCCCCATCCCCGACCCCGACCCTGCCAAGGTACCCCCCATCCCCAACCCCGTTGGGTCGAGGAGCCCGGGTACTTGTCGGGGACGAGGAAAATTGCCAGCCCTACTGTCACCATCCCTTAATCCCTATGTAATGTGTTAAAATAGCCTTTAGGCTATGTTTGGTTGCAGTGCAATTTTATTTGCACTAGCACAAATGTATGCGAGTGCAAATGATAAAAAAATGCAAATTATTTTGCATCAGTACAAATTTGTTTGCATTGCAACCAATTCATTTCATTCATCAATTAAAGCAGTGTGCAAAGAGTTTGCATCCTTAGGTTCATTTCATTCATCCGTGCAATTTTATTTTATTCTGCTTCATGTCTTAATTTACTTCATTTGTATTCAATCAAACAAAATAAGCTAAAATTTGAAAAAAAAAAAAAGCAAATCAATTGTACTGCCATAGTTTTGCATCAATAAAAATTTGTTTACATCCTCCATTAACAATAACAAGTTTTCAATGCAATTTGAAGGGTTCAACAAGGTCTGCAAAATTAATTAACTTCATAGATACTTGAGCTTGACTGTGACCCACGTTATAGAAGGATTCAAAAGTCTGAATGAAGGAGGTCTCTAAACTCAACAACAGTTTGACAGATGCGCCAAGCAGAAGAGAGAATTCTCGAATACTTCCAGTGAGTCTCCTTCAAAGATAAGGAGATTCAGCTGAAGCTTAGATGCTAGCAGAATGCCTTCTTTGAAAGCCAATGCCTCTGCTTCAGGAGGCAAATATTAATTTGATGGGGGGTTTGGTCTAAGTTGCAATATAGGTACCTTGATAATCATATACACCACCCCAGGCCCAAAACCAGTAGGCATTGGATGCACCCTCAACATTAATCTTGTAGAAACTGTCACCATGGTTGCCTTTTTTATTTAGATTCCACACTTATTGGTCAAAATTTTTCTAGTATCATAGAAGTCTTATAAGGGTGAAAGGGAAAGTAATAGGAGTTTAATTTAGGAATCGAAAGCAAATCATGCAGTAGAGAATGAGAAGAACAAATCATGAAGAAGGAGATAGAAGTGCACATGAGCTAATTTGCAAATCAATGTTTTAAAAATTGACTCGGAATTCGAACTGTTGTGGCAACCGGTTTTTGGGTTGATGGTTTGATCGTTCGGTTTGAATGAATGATTCATTCTGATAAAAAATAAAAAATAATTAAAATAAAAACAGTTAAAATCCGTTGGACGGATCAATGTTGATCACCTAGGTCAATGGATCATTGACCAATTCAATGATTTTTTGCCAGGGACCGAATTTAGGATAAAATAGAACTGGTTGCCTGAACGATTCTCAGGCCGAATGGTCCAACCATCCGGATCAACG